GGTTTACATACAGAATTACAAAAAAATTAATTTTGAAATTTTAAAACATCAATAAACACGAAGATTTGACATAATATTTAAAATTTCATGCATGTTGCATGTTTTTGAAAAACTTATTATTTTGAATTTTCTTCAGCGAAAGCCCCCTTTCAAACCTCTAACATAGTATTTTTCCTATGTAACTCTATCAGCTCTATCTAAATAAAACAAAAATAAATTTCTTCTTAAATTTTGAATCTCTAATACTTTACGAATACAAAATGAGTTAAATGAAAAATCTTCAGTGAATATTTGTTGTTATTTTCAAAGGATAATCAATCAGGAGAGAAATGATCGGTCTTATTTATTTTTTTAATTGGCTCTGTAATTTTTGTTTGTCCTATTGCTTTTTATGTTGGTATTCCGTTTTTTCATTATTATTTAACTATTGATTTAACTAGTAATGGCAAATCAATGAATCATTACTTATTATTCTTGGCATCTGAAATATAAATACTTATCTGCACAAAAAAATAAAAAAATCGTACTATTTAAAATATTCACAAACTATTCTAGCCGTTCGAAGTCCAAGGAAGGCTTTGAAATATTTTAGAACAATCTAAGTCTTGTTGATAATATCATTCAGTGTTTTTTTCCATTGCCATCCCTCCTCCCGTTACTAGAGAAAAGATGTTCATTGATCTTAGACCTTTGAATCACGTCACTAGAGTCAAAGCTGTACAAACCTTAATTAATCTTTGCATTTATCATCATCAGTTTTAATAACATCAATAACGCCTTGTTCAAGTTCAGTTTCATCCTATGATCGTAATGAATGTGGAGCAGAGACCGTCACAGAGCAGAGTAAGAAATTTTTGTCTTATGCCCATCAAAAATAATAAATATGACTCTATTTTAGTTTTTCTGATTAAAAAATCGATTAAAATGGCAATATTATAATTCAATTTTGATCTACTCAATTAGAAGATAGTCGCTTTTTATCAAACATTTCACAAGAATATAAGATCATTCTATATTAGAAGATTGCCCACTCAACAATATTACAAAGGGTAACATAAAATCATGAATTTTTCGAAATTTTGTTTCAAAAATTCTGCTAGTTTCGTGAGGTTCAGCATATAAAAACTTGGTTTTCGAGTAAAAAAATGTTTTTTCGTAATTAACATCACTTTTTTCCCCTATTAAAGATGTTTTTCTAAGTGAAAAACCTGGTATTTCGCATCACGTATATGTTGAAAACGTCAATTTGAATTACAGAAAATTTCCTCAAAGATCTTTGATTGTATAGACATATGTTCGCATAAAACTCATCCGTTGTAAAAGACCACTTTTGAAAGAGCGACCTGATATTCCATTAAAAAACACCATGATTTTTTATTCCGTGGAAAAGGAGGGACTAGATTTATTGCCATTTTGCTTTACATAAGTAACTATCTTTTTTTATCGTACCTTTAAGCATGATGTATGTCGAAAGTTAGCCTATTGTTACAGTAATTATATAAGGCGAAAAATCCAGAAAAAAACTGCAGTTTTCTTGTTAAATCTCCAGAAAATTGGGTTTCATCAGCATGGTGATTAGAACCGATTAAAAGTTGAACAGTTTGATTAAAATATTAATATTTTGAATCAATTTTTAACCAGAAAAAAAATCAATTAATATTAGATTTATTTTCGACTTTCTATGCCGTTGCTGCTGTCAAGTACGCGATTCATTTTAATCCACACCAAATTTGATTGTGGCATTCTTTCAAGTTGACATAGGTAAAATATGGATACTAAGGTAGGGCAGAGTATTAAAAGGGTGTGGGTATGGGTGGGTGTGTGGGTGTGGGTATGGAGTGTGGGTGTGGCTGCGGGATGTGGGTGGAAGTAAATGGAGAGAAGATCCTCACCCACACCCACACCCACACCCACACCCACACCCACCCACACCCACACCTACATCCACACCCCACACCCACACCCTGCCATCCTGTTCCAGTGATGTCCTCTCGGAATTCTTCGGTAAGCGCATTGAGCTGTTGGTCGTCACTATCATTGGTGAGTGTAAGTTTAACTTGCCATATTGTCATTCCACTCTCTGGTTTTTGTTTTATTTCTTGGACACGAAAGACCGTGTGTGTTGAAAAGATGATTTCGTTTTCCTTTGGGATGCAACTAATTTTATCGATGCGGGCAAACGGAGCCGATGAAATTGATTGATCAATAGTCATTTTGAAGAGAACACCAATTTTGTCCTTGTTGGACTTGAGTCCTTCGTTAATGAAATGAAGAGCTACGATTCGATCGTCACTTGTTGATAGAAAATTATTAAGTGACATCAGACCACCTTGTTGAATTTTACTATAGAAGTCTTTCTTGGTCATGGTTTTACCCGGATAGAGTGTATGAATATCATTCGTTTGCTCTGAATGAAATCTCTCGATATTTTGATGTAAATCACGAATAAACACTCCCATTTTGAGTAGAGTTTCAACTTGCATAGTGCCCAATGCTTTGTTGAGCAAATGGTATGTGAAACACTCTCGTGTATACCACCAGATGGGCTTGTTATTTTTTTCGGAATCACATGGGTATGCTTCAGAGAATTCATTGATAATTTGCAAATGTTTATCGTTACCTGCATATTTCTCCCGGGCATACTCGGCTAGATTGTTAATTTCTTTCTTTTTATCGAAATCAATTTCAAGAATTATTTCTTTAAAAAGTTGTGTATACATAAATGACGGTTCAATTTGATTCAACGATGATATTCCAGTAATTACAACTGAATCTTCGTCACATTGTCGAGCCGATTGTTGAGCTGAGTCACAAATTGGCGTAATTTCAGTGTAAATACCTTTTATTTTGGACCAGTCTTTGGACCATTCTTCATATTTTTCTTTTTTGTGACAAAAGACGTAAATTGAATGAATTTGATCGATATTATGAATACGTGGCACAACTGTTTGACATAAAACACCGGAAATAATAAGAAATGCTTTTTTGTCTTGAAGTTTGGAAATATAATCAATACATTCTTCGGTATCTTGAAATGGTTCGACAGTATTGACGGTGCGTCGCAACTGTTTGATTGAATTCTGATAATCTTTGCTGGATTCATCAATTTTTCCATCAAGCCAAATCAAAAGAAAATTTTCAATAATTTCATTTGTATCAGCTCGACGACCCCGTTTCGGAATACGATTTGAATCCGATTGTTGATTTAATACAGTAGAGGACGATGTTGATGGCGTTACTGCTGCTTTAGTAGTAATATGTGGTTGATTGCTGAGAGAATTAGCCGTTGATCCTGCTGATGCACCGCAGCTCATATTGCTTGATTGTACGTACTGTGCAAAGTTATATGTATTATGTGCGTCGTCAATCTGAAATCACGAATGAATGAATGTTATACAACGACAAAGATTCTTTATATAAACGAAAGTTTTCTTTGACAACGGATGACGATTTTTTCTTGCTCAGTTATGAAAATATGCTTTTTTTGTTGATATTCGAGCAGGTAGCATAGCTTCCAAAGAAAAGCGGTGGATGTAGGTGTGAATATAAGTATGAGTATTGATTCAACTCATACCCACATCCAGATCATGCGATGCATTATAATGACACAGTGAAAGAATCTGCTAGCATCAAAGTTTTGAAAAAATTCCATGATTTTTCAAAGACTTTGACAGTAAAACATTGTAACAACAATGTTTTTATGAAGAATAACTGTTTTGAATTAGGTGTTTCGATCTAAAAAAGCGGAACCGATACCATTGAATTTCGAGCAGAGATCTGTTAAATGAACATTTTTTTGTATCATCCGTATGGGAGGTGGGTATGGGTGTTGTCTTCTTTTCATCCACACCCACACTGTAAGTAATAAACGAATAGTCGTGGTCGAATGGCAATAAATTAGAGCAATGAATAAATGCATACTTGCTGGAGGCGGGAGATGTGAAGAAACTCGTTCGTCTCCTTCGACAGAGCTTGTTTTTTTCCTTTTGTTGATACTTTTTTTTTGGTCGGTTTTTATATGAGTGTGTGTAATTTATTACTGAAAGATTTCTTATCTTTCATTTCAAGAGTGCAGAAGATATGAGTCTGTATCAAAGATCAACAACGAAATAAATGTATCGTCATCGAAAGAAAGAGAAGAATCGAAACATCATAATAGAATGAATGTTGTTCTCATTGTTATCAAGCTTTTTTCCAACGTAGTAGTGGATATGGGCTGCTAGAATTCACGTGTTTGAGATTGGTAAGGTTAAAAAACAAAGACATTCATTCTGGAGACATGTTTTTTTTAATAAAAGAACAACAATTCATTTCAAGAGTGTTATGTTCTCTTAGCATTGATTGGTTGGCTGTTTTGCCGATGGATATCACGCTATTGAAATTAATATAGTGAAAGATATCAAACAGGAGAATGTTAATGATATATGTTGAGTGAGACGGATGATAGACAGGTGATAGTAAACAACACACATGTTGATTCTCAATCACACTCACATACTCACCCTGATTATTGTATCATAGGATATCATCAAATATATTGACTTGTTTGACATAATCTTTAACAAAAATGTAACCTTTTTTCCTTGTTTTTCTTTCAGATACAATTTAGTAGATGTCAATCACTCGTTTATCATATGCTGTTATGCGAATTTTATTCATTAATTATAATAGATGGATATTAAAGACAAGTTAATGAATATTTTCAAATAACGGGTGATAAAAAAGTTTTTGGACAACATGTCGACAGCTAAAACATGTATAGAACAGCCATCGAAATAAACTTTTTTTTATTGGTTAAATAGCTTGTCCTACCCTCTATCTGTCATATCAATTTGACGTTTTTCGATTGATCCATTGATGTCAAAATGATTGATCTTCGTAAACGTGTTTTTTCTATGTATGGGAAAAACAAAAATTTGAAAAAAATCGATATAGTAAAACATTTTGAACTTGAAGGTTTTAAAAGATCAACAATTTATAATATAATAAAACGTTATGAAAATGGTCTACCAATCGAAGACGAAGACTATCAAAGGAGCAGTTATTCAACATATTTTAATAGAAAAAAAATTGTAATCGAAAGGCTTTTTGATAACATTAAAACTTGTGTTCCTCTTGTTTAACAAATCTTTATTATAAGTTTTTTTTACATAAAATACACACAAATTAAGCCTAAAAAATTACATATTTAAAGTATAGCAAATGGTCCACTATTTTCTATTTTTCTCAATTTTGTTCGTATGGTGTTCATCATGTTACTAACAACCTTCATATCGACTTCTTTTATTTTCTTCCGAATTCTTTGTTTTAATTGTAATTCAGTTGTTGCTTCCCAACCTCCTTCATACACTTTATTAGCAAGTATCGACCAGAAGTCTTCTATTGGTCGGGCTTTTGGAACTTTTGGTGGATTAACTTGTTTGGGAATGAACTTGATCTGATGTTGAATAAGCCATTGTGTTGTTTCATTAGCATAGTGTGATGTTGCTAAATCGGGCCAAAATATATAATCATCATGAGAATGATAAGTTTCAATAAATACAAGAAGTTTACTTAAACATTCTTTAATATAAACATTGGAATTAATAGCCGGACCCTTTGCAGTTCCAATAAAAGGTTTTGAAATACCTTTTGCTGATAATGATAACCACACTAAAACCTTTTTTGAATATTTTTCTTTTGTTTTGTATTTCACATTATCTGGAACATGTTCTTTATCAAACGAGTAAAAACCAGTATTTTGTGGCATATCATCATTTGAGAAGCTAAAGTATTTTTCATCATCGACAATAATGAATGTGTGTTTTGTTGTAAGTTGACGTCTAATATTTCCACATTTTTTTGGTATTTGTTGAAGTCGTTTTGTTGTATATTTAGGTGCCTTCTGACGTTTATAATATTTAAGACCAAGTTTCTTCAAATTATAATGAATAGCTGGTTGTGTGACACCAAATTTTGTTGCTAATTTTCGTTGATTCACACCAATACGATTTGCAGCAGCATGTTGTAGACGCTTCAATTTTTTTCTATCGAAATATGGTGGACGACCACTCCTTGGACAGTCTTCAATTGGTAGACCATTTTCATAACGTTTTATTATATTATAAATTGTTGATCTTTTAAAACCTTCAAGTTCAAAATGTTTTACTATATCGATTTTTTTCAAATTTTTGTTTTTCCCATACATAGAAAAAACACGTTTACGAAGATCAATCATTTTGACATCAATGGATCAATCGAAAAACGTCAAATTGATATGACAGATAGAGGGTAGGACAAGCTATGTAACCAATAAAAAAAAGTTTATTTCGATGGCTGTTCTATACATGTTTTAGCTGTCGACATGTTGTCCAAAAACTTTTTTATCACCCGTTATCATCATCAAATAATATTCTTATTGAACTTGTTGAAGAATTATAGCAACATAATAAACAATCATCAATATTATCGTATGCAGATTTACTTATAATACGACTATCACTATTATTACTTGTTCATATTGGTTTATCGGATCGTTTAATGAATAAAATGGTTTTTAAAATTTGCCGTATCAACATAATAATTATAGGGTGTGGGTATGTATTGTGAGTAGATACGGAGCGCGAGTGTGCGTGTGTGTTTGTGGCTGTGGGTATAGGTCTATATGCATACAACAAAGACGAATATCTACACTCACATCCACACCCAATAATAAATTAGTATGTTCCAATTGAACATACTAATATGTTAGTACTTAAAGAATATTATCCTTCATTTTTGTTTTTCTCTTTTGAATCAATCTATATTTTAGTTATAGTTTTAGAACTATGTTGTTTTCCATCATACAATCGAATATCAATTTAAACAAGAAGCTAACGACAAGTTGTGTTCTATTTGGTTATAGCATTCTCCGCGACCAATTGTTTGTTTTCTTTTTTTTAAATATTCATCTCTTGTGCGATATTTTTATGTGTATTTATAAATTTTCTACTTGTATAACATTTTTTTTCCAGTAAAGAAAATTTCTCTGCAAATTCGGATATCTTTGTAGTGACAAAAATATTATTTGTGACAGTTTTATCGTCATTCAAACATCAGAAGAATGATGCCAATGTAGATATCATAGGTCATTTGTTTTAAATAAAGGATATGGATGAGTGTGGGTCATCTATTCGTCAACATCCACATCCACTATTAACTGTTCTCATTACGTTATGGTGTACTGATCTATTTTTACATTTTTCACATGCAAACTCCTCAGCAAAAAATTTCTTGCAGTCCTGAGAAAAAATTGCAATACATCTGTCCTTTTTTGAAGTTATAAGATGCATCGTAAAAAGCTTCGTCAGAAAAACAAAATGTTTATAAAATTTAAATGTATTGATTAACACATATGCTTTCTCTTTTCAGAAAATCAGAGTCATTTTATCAGAAAAAAATAGCAAAGTTTCAATAGATCATACATTTGACCGATTAATATCTTCGATAAATAAGTAGCTTATTCTATTAAAACTTGTCTCACTAAACTCATATATCATACTCAGTGAAAAACGATAGTTGATCTCCTAATAATGAGGACATTGTAATCGGTTGTTTCACCAGTTGATGTATCTTGATAAGGATATACTATACTGATCGATACAGAGTGGATCCGACCATTCACGTGAATCATTGATTCAAAATCGAACTGTATCATATACAACTATTACATGAGTTCAGTTGTCATTGCTAAGAATATTAGAGTCAGTTTATTTGGCACTATGATTGTTGAGTGAATGAAATGGTTTTGTCACAAAGATCATAACATATACTCAAAGAAAGACAAGGGTGGGTATGAGTTTGAGAAGAAACTCAAGATTCATCCACACACTCTACACCCGCACCCTAAGCACAGAGAGATTGTTTTTTTTTATGTAATATATATTATGAACATATTTCTTAATCCTGCTATTACTGAATCCTCTAGAAATATAGAAAAAAGAAGTAATGAAGTTATTGATGAGTGTGCATTTGTCTTCCCATTTTTATTCCCATACACACGCTCTAGTTGTGAAACTCAATGAGATATACTTATAGCATAATCCTGAAGAACTCTTCAAGCACTCAAATCACCAACGAAACTAGAGTTTTTCATTATCACATTTTAAGTTCGTACAGATATGAGTTACCCATCACTTCAGTCTTGATGTAAAAGAAATATATACAGTACAGAATGATGTGGATGTGGTTGTTGGTTAAGAGACAACTAAAGATCACAGCCATACCTGTACTGTGATTGAATGGTAAATTTTCTCCATCAAAAAAAAACATTTTTCATTATCAGAATATCTAAATAAAGAAGAATTAATTATAAAATTTATCAAATTAAACAACAAATCTATTTAAGTCAATCTTTCTTTTGGCATTCATGGAAAATATGAAATGTGTAGTCAATATATAAAATTATATAAAACATTGCTTCTGCTTTGAAAAGATCTAAAATAAAATATGTGATTGAATGATATTTGTACTTGATCATTATTATTTCAAATTAAAAATCGATTTAAATACAACAGTTTCTAATAATGTTGATTTTATAAATTAAATAAAATCGAATATGAATATGTGCATAGAATTATCTGAAAGTCTACTTTTCGTTTTGTCACGAATGAGTAAATAGAGTTTATCGATTTAATTCCTATCTGGCAAAAATTTTGACCGAATATTCCAAAAAACAAGGAAGTATATAGTTATTTTTTTAGATTAATCTTCAATTCGCTTCAAAGTCATTAAGCAAGCTATATCTTTTGTTTAAAACCTATATACATATAACAGTAATAGTGAAAGAGTAAATAAATATTTTTTTAAATATAAGATAGAATCCAAACTAATAGAATTAAAAATATTTAGTTAAAGATTAAATAATCTTTATTTTAATAATTTTTCTTTTAAATAAATGATATAAAATATTTAGTTTATTACAATAATGATGAAATTTATAAATGAGTATCATTTCTTAAA